GGAGGCTAGCCTCCCTTGCCAGGGTTCTTTTCTCAACACTCCTCAGCGCTGAAAGTGAACACTCGATGGTGATTGGCTAATTTTTTTTACCAATGGAGGCACGAGAGCTCACCTCTCCCCCGGCCTCCCCCTACCCTTCTCTATCATTAGCGGTTGTAATTACATCAGCAGATTCGGCACATTCGCGATAGAAAAGCGGCGCTTTCACGTTATGGTATTACAACTGTGAAATTACAAACAAAAAATACACATTCTGAGACATGAACTGAAATGAATTGTGATTTTTATCATCATTAAATCGTCGTCCTCCCATTTTCACCTCAAAATTATGGGGAAGCTGTGCCTCCCCTGACGAGCCGCCACTGGTTTTACAGTGCATAACTGACATGTCACAGGTCTATTTTTCATCTGTAAATGTTAGAAAGTCATGCAAACATATAGAGGCATGTGAGAGCAACGAGCGCAGCTGCGTTACGCTAAACAGACCGAGCGCAATCGAATAGGAGCGCAATAATTCTGAGTAAAATATACATTTTGCTAAAAAAATAGTTTTTGGACATTTAAATGTGCCTTTTGTAGAATTTTAAACCTACATATAAAGTGTATTTTTATGATAGCAGTAACTGTAAATGGACTATTGTAATAGGTAGCCTAAATCACATGTAAGCTAGTAGGCTACAGTATTAATTACTAAGCTCAAATGAGTTAATGTGTGTTTCTTATAGCAGTTAAAATGTAGTCATTTTCTTTATTTATTTTTATTTTTAATTTAGTTATTTTAATGCTTTAAAGAGCAATTTTAGATTGTAATATTCTAATGTTCTGGTCAAATAGCCTAATAGTATGTGAGACAGTGGTCAGTACTAATTACTAAGCTCAAATGAGTTAATGTGTGTTTCTTATAGCAGTTAAAATGTAGTCATTTTCTTTATTATTTATTTTCATTTTTAATTCAGTGATTTTAACTTTTAATTTAGTTATTTTAATGCTTTAAAGAGCAATTTTAGATTGTAATGTTCTAATGTTCTGCTATCTGTTCTGCAAACTATAAAAGGTACAGCTGTCATTTTGACTTTTTGTCTTTCTGCATGGCTAGAAACTGTAAAAAAAAAAAAAAAAATCAAATAGCCTAATAGTATGTGAGACAGTGGTAGTATCATTGTGTTCCTGTTGGTCAGTGTTACAGGAGCTTAGCCTGACAGTTAGCCTGCTTTAGACCAGGTTAGTTTCCCAGCTTAAGTTTCCACAGTAACTAAGCTTGATCTAGGCCTATGTTAAATTTGCTTTATAGAACCAAATCATTTGACAATGAGTCAAGCTAACTGAAATAAGCCTGGCTTATTTGGTTAACTTGTTTTGTGAAACAGGCCTCGAGGCATTAAAAGTGATATTTTCTCCATTGCATCCATTGCTCCAGCCGGTACGTGAGAATATTTTCCAAACGTAACCGGTCGATGGTGTAAAAAAGTTTGGAGAATGCTCCTGCATTCTGGAGGAATTTTGGCCCACTCTTCTTTACAGCATTGCTCCAGTTAATATTCAAGTTTATGCACAGCTTTGCAAGTTTATCCACAGCATTTCAGTCAGGATGAGGTCTGGACTTTGACTCATAAACTCATATTCAGTTGCCAGACACTACTGGTACATAAACAGGAGTAGACTCTGTGGGCAGATGAAACTTTAAAAAAAAAAAGAGCCTTTGGCAGCAAACACGCCATATTGTTTTGTTGCACACAGGGATACAAAATTAAATATACTAATTTTAGTATAAGGTTGTGATGGTGGTATGTCCTTCTGCCAGACCATACTGGCTTTAAGAATTAAAGGTGGTGGCAGCAAACCCTTACAAAGACAATAATATTTTTAAACACCAGGCTCCAGAATCCATGGAACCCTATAACAGGACATGATGTTTGGATAATGGTTGGATGTGTGGTACACATTTAGTCAAAAACATGTTTTCTGTGAGTTCATGATGGGCATGTGAACTAAAAATAATGTTTTCTTTTTTGTTTCTTTTTTCAAATAGTAGTAGTCTTTATCTGTGGCTTTAACCCTCATGTGGTGTTCTGACCATTTTGACCTGGAGAGGATTTTATTTTTCCTGAAAATTGCAAGAGGGTCTAGCTGCAGCCTTGCACTTGCACTCTCAGACTTGCACTCTCAGACACTTGCGCTTCCGCTAGCGACGTCACTTGCAGTCTTTTTATTTTTTTATTTTGTTCTATTTATTAATTACTTTTTGTTTGAATCTCTCAACATTTTACAACAGTAGCCAGGTGGTGAAGACAAGAAAAAAGAAACTAAATTACAATCGCCACTTGCACTCTCCGCTACCTGCGACGTCACTTGCAATCGACACAAATCGTGCGTGTTGCCAATGGAGACAAGAAGCTGTGGTGGTGATTAAACGATTAAAACTAATTTAGTACTATAACATACAGGGTCCTGCAAGAAAAAGACAAGACCCGCAAATCCGTGGCTACAGAACAGCAGAATATGAACGCAATGCACAAAGTCTCTCGTTAAGCGTTTTCCTCCTGTAGAAAAACATAAACACTTAACTTGACACTTAATTTGTCAAAGTTTGGATGAATTAATCAAAGGAAGGTCATTAAATCGTTATATGGACTAGTATCTGTAAATATTAAGCTGC